GTCTCAATCTCCTGACCTCGTGATCTGCCCGCCGTGGCCTCCCAAAGTGCTGGGATTACAGGCGTGAGCCACTGCGCCCGGCCAATCTATAATATTTCATTTGCATGCAAGCTTCTTGGATGAAAACACAAATTTTCCAGATACATAGCCTTTGTGTTCATTTTTACAGTGACATATACAATACAAATTTTAATTATTGTTATATAATGTTCTAGAAAAACACAGAAGACATCTCATAAGGATGACTCCTTCCTCTGAAGAGGTGGAAATGGGTCAGTATTTATTAATCATAGTGGAACAACAACATGGGGACAGAAAATGAAAACATTTCTGCAACTGTCTACTTTCCAAACATACTCTGAAGACAACTAAGCTCTGTGAAGGACTTTCTTGGTCAAGAAAAAACATTAGGTCACAACCTATTTCAGTACAAGAACAAGGCTCTCTCTTTCTTTATGTCCTGGTGCTAGTCTCTGTGCATACAGGGTATTTAGTATACTGCACACTGGTACAAGGTCGCTGTGAGTGGTTGGGAAGGGTCTTCGGGAGGAGGAAAATGGGAATGACAGTTTCCATTTATCGTACCATCCTGGTAGGCTAGGAGCATCAAAAAATATTGTTTCCAATTGTCATTGGGCAAAAAGTACAAAATTAGGGCCATGGAGATTACATAATGTGTCTATATTCACAGTCAGAGACTGATCTAGGACACAGAATAAGCCCATGTGATGTAGCTAGAGAAAGTGTGCACAGTGCTGGGCAGTGAGGGGAAAAGTGAGAAGAACAAGAGCGTCAAGTACAAAGACATTTACACAAGGATCCAAAGCAATACCTAGGTGTTATGTATGTTTTTCTCAGCTAACACCACACAAGGTGAGCCTCCAATTTTTATCTATATAAAGAAGCTGAGACACAAAGAGCTTTAAGTAGCTCCTCAGATATCAACTCTGAAATTCTTCTCTCTGGTGTTTTGCCAAAGGACTACACTCCTGGAATCTAGCTAGATAAACTAAAATTTTAGACTTTTGTGGAAAATAAAATTTATTTTTAAGTCTTACAAAGATAGCTTTATTAGTCACTTCCTCAAAGGAGACAACCACACAGATGGATGAAAAACTACAAGTGCTAAACTTCTTAAAGTAATTGTGACTCATTTCACATTTGTATGTTTCTGTTCTTCTTTTTGGGCTTTCCAACCAAATGTTAGATATCAGCTGGTGCAACCTACCAGAGAATTCACAGTAAAAGGCTGATCCATGCTGTCTTATCTGTGAAATGAGGATGTTCACTGTTTCTTCTCAATCACTTCATCTGTTTCAAAAACAAGAAGCAGAACTAAAGTTATTTTTTGAGACTCAAGTTTGAAATCCCAAATCCCAGGGTTATCTCTGCCTCAGACAAACAGGAACAAATGGAAATAACTTATATAACCTTAAGTTATAAGTTCAGAGTGTTCAGAGAGACTGTTGGAAATCTCTTCCTGAAAATATAAAACTGCAAGTGGTTATGGTTTCTCGAAGCTGACCTTTGAAAGTGAAGGTGTGAAAATAATTAACATTTGACTGGCATCCAGTATGAATCTTCTGGGGGATACCTTACTTAGAACTCTATGCAAGGTTATAAAGTAGGTCTGCTTTCTTCAAAGGAATAAAGAAGATCATATTGATTATGAGCATGGACTGTTAAACCTAGAGCCGGTCTGGATTTAAACTCAACCTTAGAACTATGACAGGCAAAATTCTAAGATAGCTCTGTGATTCCTGCCTCTTGATATCTGTCGGTTTGTGTAATCCTCTCTGCTTGAGTGTGGTTAAGACCTGTAATTGGCTTCTAACCAATAGAAGATAGCAAAGGTCACGTAATATTATTCCCATGATTATGTTGAATCATATGGCAAAGATGAAGAGATATTGTAGATATATGAATCCCCCCTAATAATGTTAAGTTAATTAAAAGAAAAATCATCCTGAGTGGTCTGGATCTAATCAGGTAAGACCTCTAAAAGAAGCAGATTCTCTCCTGCTGGCCTTAAAGACTCAGCCACCACAAGTTCCAAAGCTCCAAGGAAATTAATTCTGCCAATGACCACACAAGTTTGGAACATGACTCCAAGCCTCTGATGAGACTCTAGCCCATGTCAACAAGTCAATTGCTGCCTTGTGAGACCATGAGCAGGGGACCTAGGTAAGCTGTGCCTAGACTCTTGACCCAAAAAGCAGCAAGATAATACATGTATATTTAAGCCATTAATTTCATAAACATTTGTAAAGCAGCAATAGAAAACAAATACGCTTAGCTGTGTGACTGCAGGGAAGTTATATAGACTTCCTGCGCACCTACAAAATGGGTGAAACAGTGGTTCCTACATCACGTCATTGTGCTAGGATCACATGAGTTAGCACATAAAGTCCTTAGAGTATCAATAGCTCCTAGCATATAGTCAATATTTTATCAATGTTAGCTATTATTAGAATCTTTATTTTATAGTTGAGACAACTGAGGCTCAGAGAAGTCAAGTGAATGTACCCAAGTTCAAATATTAATTCAATAAATGTTAGTAATTCTCATCCTTTTTATGCTTGTTTAGGTCAAGCTCTGCATCACCACTTTCCACTTCTAAATTTATTTTGTCCTTTATACCCCACGCATCACTTAGATGACTTTGAACATGGATCTTCTCCTGACTTCCTCATTTAGGAAACAAGGGGTTAAGATGGATTATTTTCAGTTATAATATTCAGTGATTCTAGAAATCTCAGAAGTAGATCAATCAATACCTCCAGTGCTATTTTCTGGCCTAAATCCATGGTGGAGGAACCCTTCAAGAAAAATTACTCTTATATTCCAGTCTTTCTCCTCCATTGTCTCCAATAATCCCTGGGGTAAACATTGAGCTCTAAGCCTGCAGGCTACAAAAATGCCCAAGAAAGAAAAAACATGGTTCATCACAGTGCAGTTTAGAAGTCGAGTTAACAATTTTGGCACCACTGAATGTAGGCAATACCATCTGAGGAATTAAAACTTCTCGGTGAGAAGAAGTAAACCAGGAAAAGACGTTAAAAGAGTTAAAAAGACAGAGCAAAGGTTTATGGGGAATGTGAAGCCGGGGAGGGAGGGGAACAAGCAAACACTAGTAAGTCATTTATTAGGGCCTTATAAAAGAGTAGAATTGGCCAGACACAGTGATTCACACCTGTAATCCCAGCACTTCGGGAGGTTGAGGCAGGTGGTTCACCTGAGGTCAGGAGTTCGAGACCAGCCTGGCCAACATGGTGTAACCCCGTCTGTACTGAAAATACAAAAATTAGCCAGGCGTGGTAGTGCACACCTGTAATCCCAGCTACTAGGGAGGCTGAGGCAGAAGAATTGCTTGAATCCATGGGGCGGAGGATGCAGTGAGCCGAGATCGCGCCACTGCACTCCAGCCTGGGTGACAGAGTAAGACTCTAGCTCAAAAATAAAATAAAATAAAATATAAATAAAAAAGAGTAGAATTCTTTCTTTTGATGATTGCTCAGATTCATAAAGAGAGAGCATAGACTTTAAAAAGTTGAAAATACTAGGACAGGGGTTTTTAAACTTTACTGCATCTAAAATCACATAACCCTGAGATCTGTTTAAAATGCAGTTTCCTAAGACCCACTCTAAGGATTCTGAATCCATCGGTTTTAAGCCCACAAGTAGGTATTGTCAGATATGGCCCAGTGATTCCAACACATGAGGTTTCCAAACAATACTTTGACAGAGACTACATTAAGCAGGATTCTTAGTTGCAGGCAAAGGTCTGACTCTTGAATTCACAGAAGGATAACGAAGAAACACAAACTTCTAGGAGGGCCAGAGAAATCAGGTTTGGAAGCTACATATCCAAGAACACTGCCCCAGACTACACAGCAGCATTGGTCTGGTGAAAACACCTCTGCTATCTCTATCACTTGATGAACAGGGGATTCTACAGCTTCTACTACCAACACCAGCAACTCCAGCAACTAGCTGCTGCCCTGGGAATAATGTGCAGCTGCCAGGTACTTCTCTATGTCTCTAGTTTCTATTTCAAAGCATGAGATGCAGGTGTCTGACTGGCAGAGTCTGGGTCCCATGCCTTCAGCCTGGCTGAAAAGATGGCCGAAGATGTAAATATCTAGCACTTTATCCTCTTGTAGGAGGCAGTGGGATATGCCAAGAGAGTAGAGGTGGATTCAGGGCTGGGTGACCAAAAAACAATGGTAAGTGTGAGCAGAAACAATGAAATAAACATCTCCGTAATGAGCTTCCATATGTATGAAATGTTTAAACATATTTTAAACATTAGAGTTTATTAAACTACTATAGATAAAAACTATTCACTCCCACATATGAATATATTCAAAATTCAGAAATAGAAGCCAACTCCCCTCAAATCTAAGATGAAAGAAGCTCACAGACTGGTCAGTAACTATTTTTTAAGCCATTTATTACCTGATGGTCTTGCCTTAATTCCTTTATTTTTTGCCCCCAGTTCCGGCACTTATAGTTGCATTATAAAGAACTGCCAATATCAACATACGCAGGTATGTTTTCTAGTTCAGTGGCTCTCAAAATATGGTCAAGGTTTCCCACAATCCTGTCAGGGAGTCTGTGAGGTCAATATTACTTTCATAATATTACCGAAACATTATTTGACTTTTTAAATATCAATCTTTCACAGTTGTATAGTGGAGATTTCCAGAGGGTACAAGAGTGAATGGAATGCTTACTTGCGTACTCTTATAAATGTCTGTTTTGATTTTTAATACAGTAAATATAAATAGATATAACTCACATAAACAAAGTATTTTAGTGTCCTTAGTACTTAAGACTGTAAAGGGGTTCCAAGACCAATAAAGTTTGAAAACCATGGCTCTAGATCAACAATGCAAAGAAATAAAATAAAAACTCACCATGCTACCTCAATCTAATCAGAAATAAAGTGGGCCAGGAGAATCTAAAACAGGGAACATTAATGGCAAGTACCACTTTCCATTTGTGCTACTGTGGTCTTACTAAAACAATTAGAAAATTTGAAGTGAGGGTACAGTAAGAGGTACTTCACCTCATAGTACTTGAGATCCACAGATGCTAATTAATGGGAAGTATTCAGTATCATGCAAGAATAAAACAAATTCCCCCTCCAAAGTGGAGGTCCAAAGTGCTATAAAGCACATGGTGCAAACAGCCTTTGGAGTGAGATAAGCCTGGGTGTGAGTCTAGGCTCTATCATTTGCTTGCTAAATATCCTTTACTGAGCCCCCTCCAAGGTTTACTTTCCTCATTCGCCAGGGGGCTTGTCAAAGCCATGCTTTCAGCGTGGCTTAGAACTAATGGAAAACATTAATCAGAAATGCCTGTTTTAATCTCAGCCTACTCCCTAACCTCTACCTCACATTCTTGTGGTTTGATAACATCTGAAGATCTGAACTGCAGCCTTGTGATCTATTTAACCTGTAAGATACCTCTTGAGAGTTCTTGCTTCAGAGCTCTTGCCTTCTTGCTTTTATTGCTAGCTCCTTTTCCTGACCATAACCTCCAAAGACATCATCATTTTTTTTCTTTAATCTGTCCTTTTATAGAGGAATAGGGGAGTATCTGATTTCTGTTAATCCTGACTCACAAGAATGAGGGGAATCACGATGTCAGAATCCTACATATTCACAGTGAGCACATGGAGGCCAACTCCTGTCCCAGAGATTCAGCTAACAAGTAGCTCCCAGAACCAACTGAGCAGTCGACTGTGCCCAGAGGGGATGTGGCAAAACTGCATTCTCGTCCATGAATGGCCTGGGAGGGGGCAGGTATCCTCTCCAAATTGATATTTTACAGCTCTGAGCTTGTAACAGTTTACTCTCTATATAACCATAGCAAAATCCTCTTGGCTTCTGTGTCCCTGCAATGTCTCCAAGTCTGAAGTCCCCCACGGAAACATGGAAGAGTCTCAACAATTCTGCCCTTTAAAACCAGCAGCAAACAATGCAAGAATGAACAGAGGAAAATATCTGACCTAGCATGGTGCTTATTTTGTGATTTTTTTCAGCCTTAATTTCCTTAACTCCTTCTTTCTTTCTTTCTCTTTCTTTCTTTTCCTTCTTTCTGTCTCTCTCTCTCTCTCTCTTTCTTTCTCTTAAAATAGTGTGTGTGCGCGTGTGTGTGTGGCAAAGTTCAGAATCCTGACCCATTTTCATCCACAGAGAAATATTTTCCAGAATTCAGAAAGGAGGTGACTACTAGGCAGCGAATAGTCTCCTAAGAGACTCAGCATACAGTAAAGAGCCAGCGAGACCATCACCCAAATGTGC